AAAACTATATACGAAATCAACGGAAATACTCTAAGCTACAATATGGAACCAATGTTTCTAATTTGGAAAAAGCGTAGCGAGTAAATTTAATCTTTACATTATACTTTCAAATTTATCCGCATTATCAAAGATACCCCGTTTTACGGTATCACAATACGACGCTTCGAGGTATCACAATACGTAGAAGAAGGCTAGAAACAACGGCAAAAGCAGCGCAGGAGAAGGAAAGTGGAAAAAATCGTTGAAGCAAATTAGCTAAGCTCAACTAGTGCTTTGATGTTAAATTGGAATACATGGAAATGAGACCCATTCTATTTATAAGGAACTGACCGCTTCGTAATATAGTACAACATGATCAACCTGAGTCATCCACCAGCCTTGGCGAGAATTTACGGCTGAAAGTGAAAGCTTATTTTCGCAATAGTTCGCAAATTATTGAGAAAGTGTTGATTTTCTTGGGATTGGGGGGGTCACTATGTAGTATCGAATCACCATGCCCTATGGCATCAACATTGGGAGGATACTGTTTTTTTTTTATATTTAGCGAATTTACGAGGATGAAATCGTTTTCTAAGTAGTAATTCCTCGAGAAATCTTCGATTGCGATTTATGAAACATTCCAGAGTTTACTAGCAACTAAAAATATGCAAGGTTGTTATGAAAACGCGAATTTCACGATTTTTGAGATTTTCGTGGATTCAGACTTCTAATGGCGTAGATTTGTGTATCATACTTGTTCTGAATATGGCTAAATTCATCTTAAAATGAAATTTTTCAGTCGTTATGATAGATGATTGAACGTAACTTTCAGGTATATTGTACTCACGGTATCAGTTATTTATTGAATAAGTCCATGGGAGGAAAATTTACGGAGCAGCTATTTTATATTAACCGTTGCCTACCTTTAGTCATTATCCCTATATACAATAATTCAGTGTGCAAAGTTATTAGCAAATGAGCAGTTCCTGACCAAAACTGTGTATGCCAAGCATGATCCTGGCCATGAATTAATGCTGCACAGTAAACAATGTAAAGTGTGCAACAATTTAGTGCCGGAAAAGTAAAATATTAAAATAAAACAATGATAGTAACAGATGAATTTCGAGCACATTAAAATGTATAGCTAAATTGTTGTACGCGATTTCGTACTCGATTCGATAATCGAATATGCGAACACGTCTACTGAGGATTCATGTTGATAAAAAAAATCATCTATCAATGAAACAGTCATCGGTCGTCATTGAAAAGCAATGCAAAAATGTTCTGTCAATCTAATTGAAACTTTTATTGGCTCTGTTGTCTTGTGAATTTTAGCTATAACGGCTTCTTTTCTGATTTTTATCTCTCAATCGATGGAATCTACACGAAAACTATGTGTGAACGTAATTTTTAGAACAGTATGAGGAACATTATGCCGTAGACTACACATTTTTATATAAAATGGTTGGAAAATTCGTAGAACAAATACTTTAAAATTCTTCACTTTTTAAGATACCTTCGAGCATGAAACTAAGTCAAAACTTCAATAAAATCTCTTTAAATAGTCAACCTTTCGTCACAAAGTTGGTAAATAACATATTAAGTTTTGCAATGAAAGTTGTTACAGCAGTTTTCGTTGTTTCAGTCTCGAGATACAAATATTATAAGCCGTAAATTACCTTACAAACATAAAATTAACTTGAAGCACCTCTAAATCATCACCGATTTTGCTGAAAATTTGCACAGAAGTTCAAATTAACATGACAAACAGTAATCTAACGGCGCCGGTGGTGTAGTGGTAAGCGTGTTTAGTTAATCTGTAATGTAATGGTTGTATTGAAGAGTAATTGAAGTTATCTACAATGATGTAATACGTTTTTTTTGCAGCCGTATATATGTTGGTAAATATGTAAGAAACTATTTAATTAAATCTTTACTAATATAAATTCATGTAATGTATATGGATTCTTGAATTAATTGGACAATCAGACAGTTTGTATGCTACATAAGAATTTAATAAGAGGGTTAAACTATTGATATTTAAACGTTGCATGAATATTCCTCGATTGGTGCCCATGAAAATCATATCACAATTTGAACTTTTAAATATTGATGATCTGAAAAAAATAAATAATTACAATTCTATTTGAAAACATAGTACAGAAGTATAAAATAAAATAAATTGATGAAATTCTACAGGCAATAAAATATCATTCCTTGACAATACATTATACGAATAATGTATGTTTACTTCCAAGATCCCGGCGGAAAAATAATAATATTATAATATAAAATGTATAATATAACCGAAGAAAATAATATCACAAAATAATCAACTTTAATAATGTAAAATTTAAGATTATAAAATAGTATAAAATTATATTACAGGATGTAATAAAAAAAATTGGAAAAGCATTCTTTGCGTACTGACGGGAAATAATTAGAAATGATTAGAAGTAAATTTGATGACGTCAGGCCTCCAACGATAAGCATGAATAGAATCTCATTCCAGAAACGCCATTAATAACATTAACAATATTTACCACTGCTTTAAAAAACCAGTACTGTAAAAAAAAAACAATGTAAAATATGTAACAATTGAGCCAAACAAATAAACTAATGGAATTAAAATCGTATCATTAATTCATAAATTACCTGCAATGTACAAGCATGTCTAAAACAAATGTAATAAATGATAACAACTACTATGTATAAAAATATAATAAGGTGCCGCAATATAGTAACACAATGCATCAAATATGACAAACAGGTGGTGAACTTCATGCGAACGTTAAGCTCCTCAAAATCCACAGTAAAAATGAATGGGAGTTTTTTTTTATCTGATGATTAACTCTGTTGTTTTCAATTCACCTGAGCCAGTTTTTATGGATGATGATGATGACATGGACCACTCACTGTAGCAAGACAACCGACCACAGACTGTGGAACATCCTCACTGCTCGACCTGATCAAGTTCAAAAACCTCCAATTGCACTCCACCCGCCACTGCATGAAAGGCCAAAAACGATTTGGGTGAATACGTGGGCAACATCGCCTACGCGCATCTACGGGACAAACGAGAATCTCCCTGCAACAACAGGATCACACAACCGGCCAAAAAACAGGGGGACGTGAGTAGGGAGAAGAGCCCGCCCTTCCCTCATGAAACGCCCAAAACAGGGGGTCGGCACCTCCACTCCCGCCATCCACCTCGCCTCAATCGGGCGCCCGTTGAACCCTTCCGTACCCAGCATATAATGTTTCATACAATAATCGAAGGAAAGTTAAGAGATAAATAAAGGAAAGATCTTACCCAATATGTTGCATAGGAATCCATGACATCACGATGATTTCGAAGAGTTCCCATAGATATGCCACCGCTACTTCTTCAACCGGTGTTAAAAACAGCACTTTTGCCTTTCCTTCCTCACACAGCAGCGGCAACCCTCAAAAACCTCGAAACACACACTAGCTGCTCCAACTAGAGGGATTTCATCAGAGAAAAAATGGACTGCGTGCACTTTCCATCACCAATCACTCGTGACACAATGGCTTTAGTTCGCCAGTACAGTCTGCAAAACGCAGCGCCAGTACCTCACCGGCAGATTTAACTCGCGACCAATACCGAAGTCAGAACCGACAACTCAAGTGACCGAATACAAATGCGTCTAATAGCGGCCATGGCACCCTTCGATTGTATTTCTGAAACACAACCTCAACGCACAAACACGACGACGTCAACATTTGCTTAGCAAGCGTCTTTCGTCCGGGAGACGGAACGCCAGCGTACAGCAAGTGGATTAGGAGAAAAAATGCACAGACAGCTCGAACTGAACTGCTAACGTTGACAGCCAAACGCGAACTGTACGGCAGTGTGAAAATTGTGTATAGAAAGTAGAAAGCAAAATTGTCCTTTGCTGGTTTTTTACTTGCTGTATACAATTTTCATGTAGTAAAACATGATAGTTAAAGTACATAACTCTAGATAGGAGCTTACCATCAATCAATGGTCAAAAGGTACCGTAGCAGCACCTCCCCTACCCGTGTCTTCTTGAGATCGTTAAGAAGACGATAACGGGAGCTCAGACAGTGATAGAGGAAAACAATAGTTGCAATTTCAAAACCATAACTAGATGCTTAAATCAGATGGCGACTTGAACGTGCAACAATATATAGAACCGTTTCCGTACATCGGAGGTACATGAGCAAATCGGCAATCATTTCTTTTGCTAGTGTTGGGAAGGGGGACCACCTCTCATCACCCCTCATAAACGGATAAGTTTGGTAAAGGGAATGCTCGATCCGATTCGTACCTTCCTCAAAATTGTCCTTTGCTCACTTTTTACTTTCTACATACAATTTTCACACTGCCGCACTATAATAGAACTATCAATCCTAGACTTTCATCTTCTCATCTATCACTTTGTGTCTGATATTGACGTTAAGCATCTCTAACTATGTAAATCGTTAACGTTAACTTCACGCATGAAGTAATAAAAACATGATTAGTTAAAGTAAATTTGCTGGTGATTTTTTAAATATTCTGTGCGGAGTGTGATGTGAGATGACTCGCAGGGACTAGTGAAGTGACAATTGACACCTCGTGTGAGGTGCCCAAGTAACCAACAAGCCCGCTAATTCGCCTTTTTGCAATATAAGGCTGATACACGGCTAACATAGGGCATGCTTGGCTTTATATTAGCCGCATATCAGCCTTATATTGCAAAAAGGCGAATTAGCGGGCTTGTTGGTTACTTGGGTGACTCTCCGTGCAAATCAAATTGTCACTCCACTAGTAACGGCGAGTCACCTCTCCTCACTCTCCGTGCAGTATAGACCTATATGTCATTATATTGATCCAATTATAACGAGAAACCTGAGGAAGACACTGTGCCTCGGAAATTCATGCAAATTAATATTATATTAAGTCAATTTAGAAATAATTGTATGCTGAAATCAATGACGTTTAATGTCACCATTTCTAATAATCGTGCTCTCTAAATCTCTACTCGTATTTGCAGATACTAGTCGCGACCCTGGCTCTAACTATCACTTTTGTTTGTGGTAACAATGACGAAAATCCGCTCAAAGACATAGTTGGATATCGCCAATGGAAACCACTAATCAAATGGCGCCAGCAACCATATTCGCATGGCACTGTAGATGAAGCTAACGATTATCCCAATGCACTTTCGGGCTACGATGATACAGATTCCATGGGGACAGCACAGGACTTGCAAGCTATCGATTTCAAGTCCAAACGTTCTCGCTTCCGACAAACGCTTTGTGAAGCGCTGGTCAATATCGTTACCGTTGGCAATGGAACCGATGGATACCAGTATCGGCCCGACCATTACGTGACCGAATCGTGCTTGAACTCTTTCAACACCTACCAAAATAAGGTACGTACGCACCAAATCCCTTAACACAACATGTGCATTTACTAGTCTCGAACAGCTCGACAGGCAGGTAAGTAAACACAAAGATAGGTCACCGTCGAAAGCAAATTTGAAAATCTTATGCAATATCTAGTTCTATGCAAAATCAAACGAATGAAAACGTAATAAGCTAGAATGGTTTTACTGAATGTTGCAATTTAAACCACATACTCCAGCTGGCTGTAGTGCTTACTTAACTCAAGTTAGCAACCGAGTAATCCGTACCAAACCAACTGGAAATGAAAGCCCTTTCTTGAAAATCAGTTACCTCATACCAGATTTCTCCTCATTTCATTGTTACAGTGCATGGAAACGGGGCTATCGTGTACCCAGATTAGGCAGAAAATTTTCATCACCAGGCGGAAAATGCCCAGCGAGGATGCCAAAGCAACGAACTGCTGGGAACATGTGAGAATGGAGGAGGTAAAGCCAACACAGCACCCGAAAAGAAAATTAAATCTGCCGGAAAACAATAATCGATCTTCTCTGAATTTCAGATCGATGCGGGTTGTGAATGCATGTGGCCGAGGGAGCACATCGGCGATAAGCATTCCTATCGTGGTGGAAAATAAGAGACGGTCAAGCATACCTACTCCGCAAAACCGAAAACACGTTTAGGTTGTTGTATAATAGCTGATAGGCCGGTGGCCACAACCGCTGATAGTACGTGGAAGTAGGATTGTTGTTATAGGAACTAGTTTGGAGAACCAAATAGACACATCTCGCTTTCATGACGAAATAAATCATAAGTTGTTTTTTCATAGCTGAATGAAAAACATGATTGATGTATAAAATGAGCCCTTTTAAGTATTTATTATACGCGAAGCAGGTGCTTCACAACTGACACGAATGACTGGTGATTATAATATTATCTTGTTGAATGGAGTATATCCAAAATATTATTTATAAAAACATATTTATTTGATTAGACATTAAGAAAACTAATAAACAAATTGCAAACAATGAGAGCTTTTCATTCATTTAAGGTAAAAATCCATGTTGGTAATACAGTCTGGACAAAAATAAAAACTTCAAAGAGCCATAAATTTTTCGGATATCAATGAAATATTCTGAAATTTTGTTTTCTGGTTAACCAAGTATTCGAAATATATGGGAATAATTATGAGCGTAATCGGTTGAAGCTGTAACAAGTTTAAGCATTTGTAGTAAAACGCCGCTATTTGGAGTAGCCTCTTTATAATGGAATTTCATGGAGTACAATGAACCAAATATGCTGAAGTTGAATAAGTTTCACAAAAATCCGTTCTGTGCAAAAAAAAATACAGTTTGACTATTTTTCCGAGCTGAGTTTCCACTCTGCGAACAAAAGTATATAAACTATTTTCAAACGGCAGCAACGCGGGAAGAGGTTATATAATGTTGTTCTCAGAGTGAAAACCCAGATCGGACAAAGTATATAAACTTACCAAATCTTTCTGATGGCGTAAGAAATCAAACATTATTTTTTACTAATCGGAATTTATTGAAACATAAAGTATATGCAAGAACTTTGTCTCGACAAAATTTCAGCATATTTGCATCATTGTACTTCAAGAAATTCCATTGTAAAGAGGCTACTCCAAATAGAGACGCTTCAGCTTCAACCTATTACGCTCATAATTATTACCATATATTCGAATATTTCATGAACATTCAAAAATGTTATGGCTTTTTGAACTTTTATATAGAGAAAAAAAATACTATCTTATACACTTCTGTCCAGTACTGTAAGTAGCTGCCTTGAAACGCTTGTATGTTTATAAATGAGAATGGATTTGAAATTTTATGTGAATCTCGCTTTCTCACGGTGTCTCTGGTAGGATAACATTATTATTTAAAAACAGTATCGCTGAAACACCAAATGAAATATTAGGTGCCCCTCTATCGTTTGAGGCTAGTTGTTCGCAAATGTTCTATCGGCGGTCATTTATCCATACATTTTTAAGCTTCAATGCCGAGAGAGTTAATTTTTGAACGTGATTTACACTGAAAAATACGGAAAAAAAGGTTCTAGACCCTAAGTGGTAAGCTCGATTGCCTCTCACTCCAAAGGACCTGGGTTGAATCCTAGTCGACACCGTTGGGATTTTCTGAGGCATAAAATCTCTGATCACGGGGAGGGAAGTAAAGCCGTTACACCGTGAAGGACCACGAAATAGCGATTATTAAAGAATATTCCAAAATTATAAACTGGAGACATCTTCCACTGACTAAATCACCTGAGATTCAACAGGAGATTTGTTTTCACATGCCTGGTGGGCAAATTAATTCTAATTTCAAATCTAAACGACTTCAAAAGAGTTAAAGTAGTTAACAACAATTTTGAAAACTTTAAAAAAAAATCTAAACGATTATCGCACTTGCACGCCGCTTGCAATGAGTTCGTGGTGTACTTTTTTACGAAAAATGTTTACCCTGAGAGCATCCAGAACAGTTTTCAATGATTATTTTTCAACAATGTTCTCAACTGTTTGCTCCCCAGCCATAATTCGCTACTGTATGCCTCAGCACTTCAGCAGTATCTGTGCAAAAAAATCAGCTCCATTTTCCAACTCAGGACCTGGCCCAAAGCACTTTTTGTCTATTTTTTACTTTGATCGCTCATAAGTTACTCAGTATATTGATAAACCTCGATCATATTATTATTATTATTAATATTATTTTTCAAAGAGTAGGGTAGAGCACTACTTCGTCATAATCGCCCATTTCCGTTCTATCGAGCAGAAATCATCAATAATATCCATGATTTCACCGTGCACAAATCAATAAAAGGTTTTTTCCGATGCGTTAATTCATTAGCTACAACATAAACCCTGTTAGAGCGCATTGTATGAATATTTACGTTCATTGTTTATCCGTACACTGATAAATTAAACTATTCCCATTTTGATTGAAATTTAATCAATTTGACATTAAACTCAGTTTAATCATATCGAATGATTAAAAATTATTCCTCTCTTTCTAAAAAATAAGCGTCTGATATTAATCCAAGTTTAATCATGGTTGATAAGATTGTAGATTATCTTTTTTTGAATAAATTTTAATCATTTTTGATTCTAGTTTAATAATTTTTGATTTAATTTTAATCTTTTTTGATTGTATACAGTATTAAAAAAGAATGAAATTTAATACTGGAAAGATTATTTCGATTTTAATCATGCATGACTACTGCCGAAGTAATCATGGCTCGGACTCAATCATAATCTGCATACTTTTTAAGCTTTTTTGATTTAATTTATCTTTGAGTGTAGGACGAAGAAAATCTATAATAGCGTAAAACAGCAAAAAAAGGTTATCTTCCATTTAATTCCACTTAATTAATTTTGGTATCCATGACAGATACGTATTTCGACTACAATGTGCAGTCTTCATCAGTGTCATTCCCACTAAAGAACTTATCAAAATCTAACCCCCTTAAGTACTCATCCCCTAGGTAAAAAAGTCAAGATCATAGGTATAAAAATGAAACTACAATGTGTTGAATCGGAACCTACCTAACTAATAAAAACCAAAGATTTAAGTAAGCTAAAGGAGAAAAATCTATACAACTCTCTAATAAGGAAAATCCCTAAAGGCTTGGTAGCCATCATAATGAAGTAATGAAATTGGGTTGTTAGCGGAATGCTAAATAAAACAGCAAAAAAAGGTTATCTTCCATTTAATTCCACTTAATTAATTTTGGTATCCATGACAGATACGTATTTCGACTACAATGTGCAGTCTTCATCAGTGTCATTCCCACTAAAGAACTTATCAAAATCTAACCCCCTTAAGTACTCATCCCCTAGGTAAAAAAGTCAAGATCATAGGTATAAAAATGAAACTACAATGTGTTGAATCGGAACCTACCTAACTAATAACTAATAATAAGAGTTGTATAGATTTTTCTCCTTTAGCTTACTTAAATCTTTGGTTTTTATTAGTTAGGTAGGTTCCGATTCAACACATTGTAGTTTCATTTTTATACCTATGATCTTGACTTTTTTACCTAGGGGATGAGTACTTAAGGGGGTTAGATTTTGATAAGTTCTTTAGTGGGAATGACACTGATGAAGACTGCATATTGTAGTCGAAATACGTATCTGTCATGGATACCAAAATTAATTAAGTGGAATTAAATGGAAGATAACCTTTTTTTGCTGTTTTATTTAGCATTCCGCTAACAACCCAATTTCATTACTTCATTATGATGGCTACCAAGCCTTTAGGGATTTTCCTTATTAGAGAGTTGTATAGATTTTTCTCCTTTAGCTTACTTAAATCTTTGGTTTTTATTAGTTAGGTAGGTTCCGATTCAACACATTGTAGTTTCATTTTTATACCTATGATCTTGACTTTTTTACCTAGGGGATGAGTACTTAAGGGGGTTAGATTTTGATAAGTTCTTTAGTGGGAATGACACTGATGAAGACTGCACATTGTAGTCGAAATACGTATCTGTCATGGATACCAAAATTAATTAAGTGGAATTAAATGGAAGATAACCTTTTTTTGCTGTTTTATTTAGCATTCCGCTAACAACCCAATTTCATTACTTCATTATGATGGCTACCAAGCCTTTAGGGATTTTCCTTATTAGAGAGTTGTATAGATTTTTCTCCTTTAGCTTACTTAAATCTTTGGTTTTTATTAGTTAGGTAGGTTCCGATTCAACACATTGTAGTTTCATTTTTATACCTATGATCTTGACTTTTTTACCTAGGGGATGAGTACTTAAGGGGGTTAGATTTTGATAAGTTCTTTAGTGGGAATGACACTGATGAAGACTGCACATTGTAGTCGAAATACGTATCTGTCATGGATACCAAAATTAATTAAGTGGAATTAAATGGAAGATAACCTTTTTTTGCTGTTTTATTTAGCATTCCGCTAACAACCCAATTTCATTACTTCATTATGATGGCTACCAAGCCTTTAGGGATTTTCCTTATTAGAGAGTTGTATAGATTTTTCTCCTTTAGCTTACTTAAATCTTTGGTTTTTATTAGTTAGGTAGGTTCCGATTCAACACATTGTAGTTTCATTTTTATACCTATGATCTTGACTTTTTTACCTAGGGGATGAGTACTTAAGGGGGTTAGATTTTGATAAGTTCTTTAGTGGGAATGACACTGATGAAGACTGCACATTGTAGTCGAAATACGTATCTGTCATGGATACCAAAATTAATTAAGTGGAATTAAATGGAAGATAACCTTTTTTTGCTGTTTTATTTAGCATTCCGCTAACAACCCAATTTCATTACTTCATTATGATGGCTACCAAGCCTTTAGGGATTTTCCTTATTAGAGAGTTGTATAGATTTTTCTCCTTTAGCTTACTTAAATCTTTGGTTTTTATTAGTTAGGTAGGTTCCGATTCAACACATTGTAGTTTCATTTTTATACCTATGATCTTGACTTTTTTACCTAGGGGATGAGTACTTAAGGGGGTTAGATTTTGATAAGTTCTTTAGTGGGAATGACACTGATGAAGACTGCACATTGTAGTCGAAATACGTATCTGTCATGGATACCAAAATTAATTAAGTGGAATTAAATGGAAGATAACCTTTTTTTGCTGTTTTATTTAGCATTCCGCTAACAACCCAATTTCATTACTTCATTATGATGGCTACCAAGCCTTTAGGGATTTTCCTTATTAGAGAGTTGTATAGATTTTTCTCCTTTAGCTTACTTAAATCTTTGGTTTTTATTAGTTAGGTAGGTTCCGATTCAACACATTGTAGTTTCATTTTTATACCTATGATCTTGACTTTTTTACCTAGGGGATGAGTACTTAAGGGGGTTAGATTTTGATAAGTTCTTTAGTGGGAATGACACTGATGAAGACTGCACATTGTAGTCGAAATACGTATCTGTCATGGATACCAAAATTAATTAAGTGGAATTAAATGG